AATCATAATTACCAATCAGGAGTATAAGTACTGATCGCAACCAAAACCACACGTTTGTCACAAATATAAGTAACGGGTTATGTATAAAATGCCGATTATTACGGTTAGTGTCAATCAATAAAAGCCCGGTCCTATATAAATGAGTTTCCATGTTGTATCTACAATATGTTCATGTTAAAGGTACTGTTTTATAATTTTATTGTGGTAAAAACTATTATTAGATTCGAACTTTGTTGTTAAAATAACTTTTAGTCAAACCCAAAACTCGCAATAACTTTTGTGATAAAAATCTATTTATTTATTCAATTAAATTGTTCAATGGTTTACCAATAGATATACGAAATGAAACAAATATTAAAGTTTTTCTTAAGAAATGTGAATTATATTATACAAATTTGTAAAAAATTGTTTTAATTTTTAATATTATTATTGTATTATTCAACGCGTTATGAATAAAGAATTTATTTATTTATTTATTTTGTTGCACTGTAGTAATTTATTAAACATACGGGCATGTGACATTAAACATTATTCCTAATAGAATTTAGATAAAATAAAAATATTAGTTGTCTTAGGATTTGCTTGTATAAATATTTATTTTTTATAAAATAGTAATATTAATTGCAAACATCTTTTGTATTATAATTATTACTACACATTAATTTTAAGTATAAGTAAACATAATTATAAAATCAATATACAGTATATCTATTAAATAAGCTATTTTTAATATATTTTATTACTGTACATAAATTCAATTATCACACAAACAATTATTACATAAATTATATTTAAATATATTGTACATACAAATAATAAATACAATTAATTTCAAGTTCATGTAAATAATTAATATTTCTAATTGTTTTTAATTCAAATGTACCTTAATTGTATATAATTATTAACAATATTTGTAATTAATTCAAATTACATAATAAAATATACTGTATATTTAAATAAATTAATTTATTATAAATTAACAGTTATTATAAACATAATAATGAAAATAATAATTACTTTACATTAAAAAACTATAATAATTCTTAATTGATATTTTGTGTGTATTTATATTTGCAACAATAAATTCAACTAGCAAACAAAAATTATAATTTAAACAAAAATCCTTAAAACCGTTAAGCTATAAATAATTATTGCAAATTTTTCCGTTTTTGCAAATTCTCTCTCTCTCTCTCTTTCTTTCTTTCTTTCTCTCTCTCTCCCTCCCTCTCTGTATTTAATAAATTCAAAATAATTATAATTACTAATTGTAGTAAATATAATGCAAATTTTTAAAATGAAAAATATAATGCACAATAAATGTGTATTCAAATTGTAAAATAAAATATAAACTATAATTCATTCAGTAACTATTATAATCAATCATGTTAAATTGGTTTAATCTCCATATATGTTTGACACTTATAGGAAGATATCGCTATAAATACAATATAGCGACAAACACAACACTTAAAAAACTATTTGCATAAAAGGTTAGATAAAATATCACTAGTATTTAAGTAAAATCAACTTGTTGAATATGCATTTTTTACTTAACACTGCAATCATTTTAAAAGTTTTATTTAACAAACAATTGTGAAATCCCTGCAACATATCCATGGATTCATTAAAATATATTTTACACGACTATTGGGTCGAAGAGACGGACCCCCAGATCGCTGACTACCCGCTAATGAGTGGCGGACCCGAAATATTAATGACAATTATGTTGTTATGGCTATTATTTGTCACAAAATTGGGACCAAATCTCATGAAACACAGAAATCCGTTTGTTTTGCGCGAAATAATAATGATTTATAACTTTATATTAGTTGTAATCAACGCATACTTTGTTTACGCGTCGATCAAGTGGTTAGACTACGGACGCAAATCATGGCTAACTAGACTACCGGCCCGTAACCAGTGGTCGGACAAAGCGATCGATGAATTACCAGAGAAAGCGTTCTACGCCTACACTAAACTCTTTGATTTATTCGATACCGTATTCTTTGTGTTGCGAAAAAAGTCAAACCAAGTCTCGTTTCTTCACGTTTACCATCATTTTATGGGTATTTAACATTTATTATAATGCTGCATTTTGATATAACCTTAATTCGATATAGAAATTTAGATCTATTAACACAAGGGGTTTGTTTAATAATGATGATAAAATCATTTGCATGTTTACAAATAACCATGAAACTTTGCTGTAATTGAATATTAATTTAAATCATTTTATTATTAATTAGTTCCTATATTGGGATATATTGGAGCAAAACTGTGTCCACAATCTGTGGCCGTAGAAGTGTTTTGTTTGCTTAACTCTATTGTACACACAGTTATGTATAGCTATTACCTGTTGTCGGCATTTGGACCCCAAATACAGCCCTATTTANGAAGTGTTTTGTTTGCTTAACTCTATTGTACACACAGTTATGTATAGCTATTACCTGTTGTCGGCATTTGGACCCCAAATACAGCCCTATTTATGGTGGAAGAGATATATCACACGATTGCAGTTAATACAGTTCGCGATACTTATTACAGGCATGATGATTGGTATATATAATGGCCATGCAACCGATTATCCCATAGGAATGCAATGGGTAGTTGGTATTCAACCTTTTGTCTTTTTTGTTATGTTTTATAGATTTTATTTGAAAACATATACCAAAAAAAATAAAGTGAATTGACCTTGAACATTTGATTTTATTTTTATTTGATACGTAACTAACGTTTTGTTTTGAATATTTACTGACCTAACTATCGAGAAAGAAGTTAAATATTTTTAAATTAAAATTATAATATGTATTATACTAAACATTAAATATTTTGTTTCAATTAATTTACCATAATTAATTTTATCATCAGTAAATTTTTAATTTAATTTAATTGATAATAACTAAACGTTTATAAATCTGTAACTTAGTAAAAAAGTTTTTAATTCTTACCTTGAAATAAAAACACATGCTTTTTAATTTATTAAAATCTTTAAACTTACAGTATGTTTAAAAAAAATCTATTAATAATAATAAGTAATAAAAAATTTATAGTAAAAACTGTAAAAAATAAAAATACATAAAATATGGTAAATATAACTCCGTTTGCGTACAAACTATGTTTTTATGTTTTAATATATACTGTAAAGTATAGTTTAAATTAAATTAAACACATGCTAAATTTTAACTTATTTAAACTTTTAAACTTCTAGTATGTTGCAGTACAATTTACATTGATAATACTAAATTTTAAGTACTAAAAAATTTTACAATTTATAAAAATTAAATTATGGTAAATATAACTCCGTTTGCGTACAAATTATTGGCCGTCGCGTGGATTACAGCCCAACGACAGCTCATTCACGACAACACGTGTTCCCGAACTCAATGGCAAAGCAATTATGACTTCATAGTCGTGGGCGCCGGGGCTGCCGGTGCTGTAGTGGCCAATCAACTCAGTATCAACCAATCAGTACGGGTCCTGTTGTTAGAGGCCGGGGAACAACAGAGTGCTGTATATAATGACATTCCGGGAATGTTAAGAACTTTATTAAAAGATGAAGTTAATGAATGGTTGTATTATTATGAACCAAACAATAATTATGGTAAACAATACGCCGGGGGCCGGGTTCCTGAACCTCGAGGTAAAACACTGGGTGGCAGTACAGCTCATAATAACATGGCCTTCAATCGGGGTAATCGTCGCGGGTATGACGAGTGGGCCAATGCTTATGGCGCCGTCGGTTGGAGTTATAGGGATGTGTTGCCGGTGTTCAGGGAGTGGGAGAACAATACGGATCCACGTATTGTATACAATGAACCCGAATATCACGGAACTCACGGACCCATACAAATAACTACACCTAAAAATCCGGATAAAATTTTTCAAATATTTTATAAAGCGTTTGAAGATATGGGATATAAGGAGACGGATATCAATGGCCCGAATCAAGTCGGGTATGCGTTGTGGCAGTCATTTGTTAACTCATCCGGTTTGAGGGCGGGTACGGGTACTGTGTTTGTAGACCCAAACCCACGCCCGGATAGTCTACATATAATATGTAAAGCATTGGTCGCTAAAATACTGTTCAATGGGTTGACAGCCATTGGCGTCGAGTTTATAGTGAATGACATCTCGTNGTACTGTGTTTGTAGACCCAAACCCACGCCCGGATAGTCTACATATAATATGTAAAGCATTGGTCGCTAAAATACTGTTCAATGGGTTGACAGCCATTGGCGTCGAGTTTATAGTGAATGACATCTCGTATACGGTTTACGCCAACAGAGAAGTCATTGTTTCCGGCGGTAAATGTTATACATTTATTTCATGATATTTATATATTACATAAATTGTTTTTAAACATATTATAAAATAATAGTTGTAATATGTTATAAAATATTTAACTTATAATTAATTATATCATTATTAGGTGCCATAAATAGTCCTCAATTATTAATGCTCTCAGGCGTGGGTCCAAAAAGTTACTTAAAAAACTTTAATATAACACTTGTGTCGGACTTACCGGTCGGACAACATTTTGTCGATCACGCGGTCGTTAGTATACTATCGGATATAAAACCGCAATATCTACATCTACTCAACCAATCGCCACAAATCAATGTTAAGCAATTGAGCCAATTATATGCCAATCACCAAGGTCCATTATCATCTTTTGTAAATTTTGTATTATATTTTAATACACGTCAAAACACCGAGGTACAATGGCCAAATGCCATGTTATTTTATTCAACTACAAACACTACTCTACACGGAGCTATTTCCTTAATGAGATTCAAAAGTGAGGGCACTATTAGATTACAGTCAACTGATCCACGATTACCACCACTAATAGACCCGAATTTGTTATCACATCCATTAGATTATGACAACACTATTAATGCCTTGAGTTTCCTATTTTATATACTCGAGCGGACACAAGTGGCTCATTATATACAGCCATTGCCTCCATTCTCGGCCATCGGGTGTCCCGACTGTACGGACAAACAATATTTGTATGAATGTGTGAATGGATTGAAGTGTTATATTAATTACAATACATTGTCGTATTGGCATCCGGCGAGCAGTTGTCGTATGGGAGCCATAGAGAGGCCGGACGTTGTGGTCGACCCCCAGTTGAGGGTTAAGGGAGTGAATGGTCTCCGGGTTTGCGACGCCTCTGTGTTTCCGGTTATACCCAACGCCAACACCGCCTCCGCCTCTATATTAGTGGGCTATAAATGTGCCAAAAATATTACCCCCAGTTGAGGGTTAAGGGAGTGAATGGTCTCCGGGTTTGCGACGCCTCTGTGTTTCCGGTTATACCCAACGCCAACACCGCCTCCGCCTCTATATTAGTGGGCTATAAATGTGCCAAAAATATTAAACAGTTTTATAATTTATAAATCTTATTTGTTTGATTAAACTTATATAGTTTTAAAAAAAATTATTTTTAATTATATTTAAATAATTATTTATATTTCAATACATTAAATATAAGTTTATGTGAATCATTTCATTTCCATTAATTTACTAACTAAATGTAATGGTAAATGTAATTATATCACTGGCCATAAGCAGAACATTGATATTATCAGTTTAATTGATAATAATTAGAAGTCTATAAACGTGTTCAAAAAGTAATAAAATTTAAAAATGTTTTTATGTTTTAATATAAATGTATACTATTATATTATCCTAGTATTAATAGGCTAGTAAATAATAAAGTAAAAACACATGCTAAATTTTAACTTATTTAAACTTTAAAACTTACAAAATGTTGCAAAACAAGTTACATTGATAATACTACAATTTTATATACGAATAAATTTTACAATTTATAAAAATTAAATCATGGTAAATATAACTCCGTTTGCATATAAACTATTGGCCGTCGCGTGGATTACAGCCCAACGACAGCTCATTCACGACAACACGTGTTCCCGAACTCAATGGCAAAGCAGTTATGACTTTATAGTCGTGGGCGCCGGGGCTGCCGGTGCTGTAGTCGCCAATCAACTCAGTCTCAGCCAATCAGTGCGGGTCCTGTTGTTAGAGGCCGGGGGACCACAAAGTGCTGTATATAATGACCAAAGAGTGAACTTTACATATTTTTACATATTTTTGCGGTACAAGATATCAAATTCTAGCATAAAGATCTGTCCGAATCATATAATAAGAAGTATTTTAAGACCTATTTGTTATTACATAAATACATATAATTACATATTTTGAATGTTAGCACATTCTTTCACATATTTGAGAAAAATCGGCAAAATATATGAAAATTGTATGATTTTTTCAAGAATTTTGTCAAATAATTGATTTAAAAATGATATTTCTTGCAAAAAGTCTAAATATTTTATTTTTTCATAATTCAAACATATCTTTCTATAAAAATAATTACTTGCTCAAATAAACTAAATTAGACGAAGTACAGATGACAAATTTTAAAGTAGGCATTTATAAGTAAATCTAAATATTTTAAATGAATACCACCAGGAAAACTGTAGAAATCATGAATTATTTGTGTGTTCCATCATAATTTGTGCATAATACAATATTTTAACCATTTTTATACCAAAATATCA